ATATGCATATATGTACATACATACGTGTGTGGCACATAAAGTGGCAGGTTACAAAATGATAATGTACTAATACTGTGTCAGTCACTGTGATAGGGATACATATTTGAAGAAGACACCGTTCCTACACTAAACAAATTCAGCTGAAACCAGGTACACACACCTGTAGTCCCAGCTGCTGCAGAGGCTCTAACAGAAATATCTGACTTTGAGGTCAAACACATATATACCAGCCCCACTCCCCCTGCCCCTGAGGAGAAAGTGGAGAGAGGGGCTGGGGAGATGGCTCAGTGGAATAAGCACTTCCCTGGCAAGCGCAAGGGCCTGAGTTCAATCCCTGGTTCTGCAAAAAAAAAAAAGTGGAGAGAACTGACACACAGCTGGGGACATGTTATAATGAAAGATGTCCAGGATGCAGTCTGGCCCCAGAAGCAGAGGTCAGCCCCCAGAAGATGGGGGAGGAGGGAGTGGGCCTGGGATGAAAGCTGCCTCCAGGAGGCAGAGGTACCTGATGGGTGGGGTGGGGAAGAGTGGGCATGGTATGTGGTAGTGTCCTGTTGATTGCATCTCCATTTCTTCTGCAGGAGTTTTTCACAGACAACCTGTGGGGAACACTCCCTTGCTCATGGCAGAAAGCGCTAGATGGACTGGAGCCACCGGAGCTGGCTACACAGCTGCTGGGGATGCCTGGAGAAGGGGAGGTAGTCAGGTATGGGGTGGAAAGGCCCTGTGCTAGGGAGCTCAAGAACTAGGCTCTGCGGAAACATTACCCAGCATTTTGTAATGTCTCCCGAGGCCCCAGTTAGGAACTGGTAAACTCAAGAAATGACAGAACTATTCACTAGAGCTTGGGCTGGCTTATCTCAGGTACAGGTCTGTGTGGCCACTCACGCTGCTGGCCCTGAAGTCCACAGCCTATGCCCTGACTTTTACACGGACACCCAGCTTTCAGACCCCCTCTGAGTTCCTGGAGAACCCCAGTCAGAGCTCCAGACTGACAGCTCCCTTCCGGAAACATGTCAGGCCCAAGAAGCAGCATGAGATCCGCAGGCTAGGAGAGGTGAGGAGTATGAACAATGTCTGGAAACCCAGAGCCAGGGGTTTATAGAAATGTGTGTTCTGCACTCCACATGTGGGACTAGAGACCCTAGAAGCTTCTCTTCTCAGCAGACACTATAATTCTGCCTGGGTGGCTTTGTAATTCTTATGTTGGGTGGCTTTTTCTCCATCCCTTTGCTAGGTTGATTGGCAACTGTGTCTGAATCACTCTTATTTCCATTCTTACATCTCCATGGTGTACTTTGTGCTTCACAGAGGGCTCTTGTTCTGTGGGGGAGACAGTCATGCCCTGAATATGGGCAAGGACAGCCATGCTTATCTTCCACTCTGGTTTCCAGACTTCCATGTCTTTCAGGGCTCCCTGTGTCCATCTTCCATTTACCATCTTTGGCTCCTCTACCCTCATGCATGTTGGCTCCAGGAATGAAGAGACCTTTGCTCCCTCTTCTTTCAGTTGGTGAAGAAGCTGAGTAACCTCACTGGCTGCACTCAGGTTGTGGACGTGGGCTCAGGCCAGGTGAGCCAGACCCCTCACATTCTGTCTTTGAGCCATGAGGATAAAACAACTGGAAGGCAGGTATCCGGCCTCAGGCCAGGAATGCAGGTTCTGAGAAGTGGCAGAAACAGGCAGCAGAGAATTTTAGTTTCTGTGGGCCCTGGGACCCAGGTGTCCAAGCCACTGTTAGGATGGGTGATGTGGACAGAGCTCTGAACCGGGGTGACTCTGTCTTCCCTCTCATGACTTCAGGGCCATCTTTCCCGCTTCATGTCTCTGGGGCTGGGGCTGATGGTGAAGAGCATTGAAGGGGATCAGAGACTGGTGGAGCGAGCACAGCGCCTGGACCAGGAGCTTCTGCAGGCTCTGGAAAAGAAAAGGAACCCACAGGTAGGGCAGCCCCACTGCAGAAGCAGTGACTGCTTGGCTTAGTTCCTGTGTTCCTGTTTCTCAGCTTGAGATGATATACTCCCTGTTTCTGCTCTCTTCCCTGATAGCCCCTACCCTGAAGCCTTCCCACATCCCAAAGGCACTTTTGAGTTACAGAATACTTTCCACACCAGTGTGTTCTTTTCATAATAGTCTGTTAAGTAGCTGGTCAGACAAAAAAAGGGAGTGGCTGGGGAGATAGCTCAGTAGAATAAGCGCCTGCTTGGCAAGCATAAGGGCCTGAGTTCAATCCCTGGTTTTGCAAAAAAAAAAAGGCTGGTCAGGTATTATAGTCATTATTATAGTCATGTGCCTGGTGGCACATAATAATAGCAGCACTCAAGGTGCTGAAGCAGGAGGCTTGCCACAAGTTTGAGGCCAGCCTGGACTACATAGCAGTGAGTTCAAGGCCAGTCTGACTGATACAGTGAGACCTTGTCTCAAAATACAAAAAATCATTATTATTTTTTATAAAGTTTATTTTATTGTGTGTGTGTGTGTGTGTGTGTGTGTGTGTGTGTGTGTGTGGCCAGCTCAACCCACCTGGGGGAAGGGCTGGCTGGCATGCAGTGCTGGGGGATTGAACCGCGGTCGCGGTCCCTGTGCTAAACTTGTTCTAAGTAGGTTCTTTAGACCACTGAGCCATCTCACCAGCCCCCAAAAAATCATTATTGTGGGAGGTGCTAGGGATTAAACCAGCAAATGCACTATACTGAGCTACAGCCAGACATTAGACACATTATCCAGGAAGAAAACTTGGGGGTGAGGTGTAGCTGAGAGTTAGAGTACTTGCCCAGCCATGAGGCTCTGGGTTTGACCCCCAGCACTGCTCAAAGTACTAAGGGGGGGGGGACCAGGGTCTACGAGATGAAGATTTGCAAAGTCAACCACAGTGGAGCTAGCTTATCTCATCCCTGATTATAGTCCAGCAGTTCTCTCCTGTGCCCCAGCCTCTCTCCCTGTTCCTCCTTGAGAAATAACACAGAATCTGGGTCTCTTCCAATAGCTGAGGTGACCCAAGGACAGTCTTTCTCAGTTTTGTCCTTTCCTGCCTCCACAGGTGGTCAAAAGGGGCCCTCACCACTGCCCCCAACATGTGGTTCAGTGGGTTGACCCAACAGCCCTGTGTGAGGAACTTCTGCTTCCCCTGGAGAAGCCACAGCAGGGTGGTGACACTCGCTTGCTGCTGACGGGTCTCCACGCCTGTGGAGACTTGAGTGTAGCATTGCTGAGGCACTTCTGCTGCTGTCCTGAGGTGGCAGCCCTGGCCTCAGTGGGCTGCTGCTACATGAAGCTCAGTGAGCCTGGCAGCTACCCACTGAGCCAGTGGGTGGCTGGGCTGCCTGGTTGTGAACTGCCCTACAGACTCCGGGAGGGGGCCTGCCACGCCCTGGAGGACTATGCTGAGCGGTTACAGAAAGCTGGCCCTGGCCTCCGAACCCACTGCTACCGTGCAGCACTGGAAACCGTCATCCGACATGCCCGACCTGAGCTCCGTCGCCCAGGCGTGCAGGGGATCCCCAGGGTCCATGAGCTCAAGATTGAAGAGTGAGGTTGGGGGGATTACCCACTGGATACCTGACACTGCTCACCCATTATTAGCACATCCAAAGAAAATCTCCCTAAAGGAGTGGATTCTCTGACTGGGACAACCTGTCCAAATGTCTTTGAAAGTTGTCCTTAGCCAGGTATACTGCTACACAACTATGATTCCAGGCACATGGGAGAATGAGGCAGGAAAATCAAAGTCAGCCTGGGCAATTTAGTGAGACCCTACCTGAAAACCGACTGGGTAGTTACCTCAGTTTGAGATTCCAGGTCCAATCCCCAGTACTGCTACCACAACAAAAGTCCTTACTCTATCAGGAGACTATGAAAGATATGTGATTGTTTTATCTGCAGTCCTGGGACTCAGGTCCAGGGTTTCATGCATGCTAGGCAAGCACCCTACTACTAAGCTACACTCCACGCCAAATGTAAAGTTTTTAAATGCTAAAAATGTGGCCCATGGGCTGGTGAGATGGCTCAGTGGTCTAAAGCACCTACTTAGAACAAGCTTAGCAAAGCACAGGGACCGCACGGTTCAATCCCCCAACACCACATGCCAGCCAGCCCTGCCCCCTGGTGGGCTGAGCTGGACACACACACATACAAAAAAAAAAAAAAAAAAAAAAAAAAATGTGGCCTGGCAACCTAAGTGCCTACCTAGCAAGTGTAAGGTTCCAGGTTTGATCCCCAGTACTGGGGGGAAAAATGGCCAAATAACTAGGAAAAACTGAATATAATCTTTTTGGCCAACTTGCCATTAATTTATAGCCAGAAAAACCTTTGATATATAGTAGGCAAGGCACTGGGGTAAATGCCCAAGTCCCAGCTACTTGAGAGCTAAGACAGGAGGATCAGCTGAGCCTAGCTTGGGCCACCATGAGTAACATGGCCTGTTTTGTTTGGGGGGTTTTAGGTTTTGTTTTTCCAGTAGTGGGGATTGAACCCAGAGCTTTGTCCTGATATATATCCATAACCCTTTTATTTATTTATATTTTTTTTTGAGACAATATCTTGCTAAGTTGTCCAGACTAGCATTGACTTTGTGATCTTCCTGCCTGAGCCTCCCAGGTAGCTAGGATAATAGGTGCACCCACCTATCATGAGATGACTTAAAAAAGTACAGTTTAGCTGGTGGTGCCACACACCTGTAACTCTAGGCTCTGGAAGCTGGGGCAGAATTACCATCGTGAGTTCAAGGCCAGTCTGAGCTATGTAGTGCGAACCTATCTTAGAAAACAGAAAGTCATATAGTAGGGTAGCCAATCAAGCAAAGTTGGAGTCAAAGCAGGAACAGGCAAAGTTAAAAGTGGGAGGTGGAGGTTCCTAAAACTCTACTAAGTGCCATCTGGCTAACCCTACAGATATGTGCAGCAGGGGTTACAGCGAGTGGGGCTGGATCCCCAGCTGCCACTGAACCTAGCTGACCTTCGGGCTCACCAGGCCCAGGAGAACCGGGTGGTGGCCTTCTTCAGCCTGGCTCTCCTGCTTGCCCCACTGGTGGAAACACTGATTCTGCTGGACCGGCTGCTCTACCTTCAGGAGCAAGGTGACGGGAGGGGGGCTAAGGTTTTAAAGTTCCTCCTTCAATCCCGTGTCACATCCATTAGATCTCATCATCATCTCATGGTGTGGGGGATTTGTTAGGGAATCCAGACTCCTACCACATTGTCCTCTGGTGGTGCTTCCCTCAGGTGCTGTAAGCAAGCATTCCAGACATGGAGAACTTGCAGGGCATCAGGACAGCCTCAAGTCAATGCCTCAAGACACCCCAGTTCCTCCTGGGGAGTCTGCCCGTGGGGGAAAAGTGGCTGAGCCTGCAGACCGGCAGCAAGTGCTAATTGAGTAACTGGCCCATGTATCCTATTTCTGATTAGCCCTACTTTTTCTTCTAGGCTTCCATGCTGAGCTCCTGCCCATCTTCAACCCTGAACTGTCCCCTAGAAACCTGGTTCTGGTGGCTACCAAGATGCCCCTGGGTCAGGCCTTCTCTGCTCTGGAGAGTGAAGACAGCTAACACAGCTCAAGGAAGAGGGTATCAAAGATCCCATCTAAAACCACCAAGCACCAGAGGGGCAGAGTGCTCCTTTTCACCCAAAAAGCAGCACCCTGCACCCTCCCTCAGGTCCTTCAAGTTAACTCTGTATCCTGCCATGTGGTTTTCTTTTTATTAAATCTCAGAAGACTATTTCCTCCTTAAGAAGTTCAGAAAAGGACAGATGTGCATCTGCCCTGCAGAAGTGCTGCTGTCAGATGTCACTGCTTTATGCCTTCCCAGCAGTGACCTGGGTGGTACCTTCTGTTGCTCAGAGGTCTCCATGGAGACCTTTTGGTTTCTTTCCATCCCATCCCCAGGAAGGTCATGTTCCATTTAGGTTCTACCTAAATAACGAAACTAACTCTTGCCTTGGGCCCTGGAGATGGCATGCCAGGGGGGGGGTTGTCACTAGCAGACAGTAGAAACACACAGGACTCGCAGCATTTTATTAGCATCTGAGGAACAGGCATCTCGACTTTCACAGCTAAGACAGAAGAAGCTGCTGTTTCAGGCTCAATACCAGTAGACTTTCTTGTGTCTCCTCGTTTCCTGGATCCCCATTGCCTCCATCACCTCTTCCTCCAGTGTCTTTAGACGAGGTACATACGTTCTTTCTAGGGCATCTTCCACAGATGTGTCTTTGGGGCCATCTGTTGAGGTGGAGGAGAGATGACTGGGTTTGCCGACTTATTTTAACACCCTTTCCTCCTCCTTATGCCACCCCTGTACCTCTTCCTGCCCCTCACCCAGCCTTACCAATCCATGTTTCAGGGATGATACCATCAGCTCTAGGAAATTCAGGTTTGGGGATAATTCTTCCTGATCTTGTAGATACTCGAACTCGCTCTCCTGCCTCAGTAAACTTCCACTCAATCTCAGTGGGTTTCCTAGTAGATACAAAAAGTGAGCATGACCTAGGATCCATGTACCTCTATCACATTCCATCCCATCCCAAAAGTGGAGTAGTGGTTTAAAGCACTAAAGCTCTACCTACCACCTTACTTCTCTCCCTTAGTAATGGGGATACTCGTAAGGAGTATCCAGGAGATGGGCCTCACAATTTCCAGAGCATTGAACTCACCATCCCATTGGATAAATGGGCTGCCTATCGTCTGTGATCAAACCTTTTTGGACCCGGAGTGAGAAACCCCTGACCATAGCCCCAGGTGCTTGCCTGTCCATGGGATCCACAAGTTTGACCTGGTTGTGCAGCAAGGGGGCTTCACTAGGAATCATGGTTCCCGGAGAATCCCTGCTTCTGCCAATGTAGCGGAAATGCTGTCCGAGAGAGGGAGTTATCAGAAAGCAAGGTGTGCAAAGGCGGCTTGCCCTTTGCTACTCACCACATTCAGTCCAAGCTGAAAAATAGGACGTTCATTAGTATAACTGCCCCCTAAGCCAGATTCCTGCCACCTTATGCTGCTCTTACAGACAATGACAGGCTTCTTGGGTGTGCTCTTCCACTCTTCACTTACTGTGTTCATCCCCTCCAGGACCACCCAATTTCGTTGCCGGATGACTTGAACCACTTTGCCCTGCTTCCCAGCATCCTTGCCTTCTAGGATCTCCACCTGTGAGAAGACACAGGGATCAGAGAAGTGTATCTCTGACTAGGGGAGCCTCCCCATCACTGCATCCTTTTGTCTGAAGCTCTCACCATGTCCCCGCAGAACAGGTGCCAATCTTCGTCAGAGATGGGTTCCACAACTACTGGTCGTCGCCGGATCCCTGGGCGGTTCATTTTCTTATCTCCCAGGGAGCCTGGGCGGTTCATTCCATAGCGGTGGTAGGAAGGCAGCCTGACCTTGGATGCCAAGGCCAGCAGGGCAGAAAGACGCATAGCTGGAGGCTGTGAGAAATCTCACCAGTGAGACTCAGAAGTTTTCCCAGCTCTGGGAGAGAAAAGCAAGGAGACTAAGAGCAAGGGAAGGAACTTTTATTTTTCATGTAACTGGGAATCAAATTCATGGCCCTGCACTGAGCTACATATCCTTATCCTTTTTATGTTTGAGACAGGATCTTACCAAGCTGCTGAGGCTAGCCTTCAACTTGTGACCAGCTTCCTAAGATTCCAGGTGTTTGCCACTATACCTTGCAAGAACATTTTTAATGACTTACCAGATGTTATTTAAATGATGAAAAATTGCATATTTCAAAAATTTTTATAAGATAACATAAAAATGACAATTTTATTACATTTATTCAATGTAAGAATGGATTGGTAGGGGCCGGGGAGATGGCTCAATGGAATAAGCACTTCCCTGGCAAGCGCAAGGGCCTGAGTTCAATCCCCAGTTCTGCCAAAAAAAAAAAAAAAAAAAAAAGAATGGATTGGTTGGAGCAACCCACTGGGGTGGGACTAAAAAACGTACAAGGCCTGGGTCTAGTCTCCAGCACTGAAAAGGAAAAGGAAAAAAAGATACCAAAAAAGACTGGTTGAAATGATACCTGCCCAAGTGAGACACTCAGCGTAGTCAAGTACATAAGCACACTGCCTGAGTGACACCCAGGGTAAAACATTAAGTGGTTAAAGCACTTACTCTGCGTCTCAGTGAGTCTCATCTCTTTGAACCTCACAAAATTGTATTATTTTCACTTTACACAGGAGAAAACAGGCTTAAGTCATGACCCGGGTCACAATGCTGTCATGTGCGGGAAACTGGCACTTAAATCCATATATAACTTCAATAACCAAAATATTCATTGATTTTAGGAGCCATGGTATCTCTCTTCTCACTCCTGAACCCATCAGATCCCAGTAGAATTTGGCCCACTTGAGAGTTATTAAATGAGGAGACAGCAGAATGGCAGGGAAACAGGCAATGGAACAAAAACACTGGCATGCGGCTACAGGAAGGCAATCACAGGGCAAAAGAAACACAGGTAGCTGAGATTAAAAGCTGGAGTTAGGGGGCATGGCCCTAGCTCAGGCCTTTAAGTGGCTGCTTCCACAAAGCTCTCAGCCTCAGGTTGCTGGAGTTCGAACCTCACAACTCTCCCGCTGGCCAAAAGTGCCCTGAAGGCATTCGAGGAACAAAAAAAAAAAAAAAAAAAAAAATCCTTTTTCCATTTAGGCCGGGGAGATGGCTCAGTAGAATAAGCACTTCCCTGGCAAGCGCAAGGGCCTGAGTTCAAACCCCAGTTCTGAAAAAAAAAAAAAAAGGCATGGTAAAAGCTGGAGTTAAAATGTCCAAATCCCAGACAGGAAATAACCAGTCCTCGCTATGCTGCTTTTAGAAGGGAAAAAGGCCCAGAAAAAAGAAAAGAGAAAGACCCAGAACTAGACTCGGAGGTTATAGTGTACTAAATTTCCCTATTAAGTATATACTGTAGGCCTCCCATTTTAATTTTATGTTATTATTTTTGTGATCCTCCTGCCTCAGCCTTTCAGAGTGCTGGGATTAGTGACTTCCAGTTTTGGACAATGGACTGAATTAACAAAATAGTTAAGATTCCCTGGCAAACGCAAGGGCCTGAGTTCAATCCCCCGGTTCTGGGGGAAAAAAAAAAGTTAAAGAACTGGCAAAGATAAAATTAACTTCAGTTTACTGAGAACTTATTGCCCGCCAGGTGCCATCTAGATGTCTTTCCGGCTGGGTGTGGTAGTGAAAGACTGTTATTCCAGCACTCTAGAAGCTAAGGCAGTAATATCGCTGTTGGAGAGATAGCTCAGTGCTATAAGTGCCTGCCTGCCAGGCACAAGTTCCTGAGTTTGGGGCCCGCCAAATAACTCAGCTGCAAGCAGGCAAAGGGGCTGGGGGTTCGATCCCGGTGCCTGCAGTGCTGGCCCCACCCCCGGGGCCTGCTGAGAAGGCAATTGAGACTGGGTGTAATGGCGCATGCCTGTAATCCCAGCTCTTGGGAGGCTGTAAACAGGCAGATCACTGAGGCCAATATAGTAGTGAGACCCTGAACACTCTGTACAACCGTCCCTAAAAAAAAAAAAAAAAAAAAAAAAAAAAATTATCACTACAAGTTCAAGGTCAAGGCCAACTGGAGCTACACAGTTAGTTAAAAACCAACCTGAACTATGCAGTGAGATCCTGTCTTAAAAAAAAGCCTTTCTGTATCATCTCATTTAAGCCTATGAACAAATGATGAAGTTACCGTTAAACTTGCTTTATAAATAAGGATAAACCGGTCTTCAGAGGATGAACAAAGTGCAATATAATGGAAGAGTCCAGGGCTGGGGAGTCAGACCACCTGACTCCCTACTGTCATCTGGCCTAGTCCATACAGTTAATTTCTTCACTTTCACCACTCATAACCCAACAGCATTGCTGGTACCATTTAAATATTTTTAACAGTGCAAGGTATAGAATAATACGAATAGTATTATCCTTTTTGGATAAAAATATTCTGAGTCAGGCTGGGGAGATAGCTCAATGGTCTAAGCGCCTGCCTGGCAAGTGCAAAGACCGAAGTTCAACACCAGGTACCACATGCTGGTCTGGCGTGCCTGAGCCACCACCGAAAACCGGCGTGGTGGCACACACCTGTATTCCCCTGCCCTGGGGAGACTGACACAGGAGGATCACTACGAGTCAAATAAATGTTTTTTAAAAATTTTAATATTCTGAGTTATAGAGGAAGGAATCAAGAAACTAAAGTTGCTGGGCATAGTGGTGCACACCTGTAATCCCAGCACTTGGAAGGCTGAGGCAGGAGGATGGTTGCAAGTTTGAGACCAGCCTGGGCTACAAAGTGAGCTCAAGGCCACCAAGGTTTGATCCCGGCATGCCGACCCCGCCCCCGGGCGCGCTGAGAAGCCGACTGAGACAGAGAGGTGGCGCGCCTGTAATCCCAGCGCTTGGGAGGCTGATAACGGGAGGATCAGTACGAATCTGATCTAGTAGTGAAACTCTGAACACCCTGTAGACCCCTCCCTAAAATACACACAGAAAAAGAACGAAAGCAAAGAGGGAAACTAAAGTACTTGTTCGGCAGGAGACTAATTGTTTCCCTAAGTATCCCCATTCACAGTCAACAAATGACTGCAATGCACTACTGTGAAAAACCTAATGATCTTTTTCATGGACAAAAAACCCAAGGTCCTGAGAGTTGATATGACTTGCCCTGAGTCACTGCGCTTAGCAGGCGTGGGGCCAATCTTTAGACCAAGCCACCCGCGTGTGCTGCACGGACACCCTCAACTAGTCGTTCTAGGTCTGTGGCTCAGGAAGGCGGCCCAGCAGCCAGCCCAGGGCAGCTTCACGACTCTACACCGTTTCCTTCTGCTTCCTACACAGTCCAGAGGCTGGCGTCCCCTCACTGTGTGCTCTGGAGGGGCCGCGGGCTGCTAATGCTGAGGAACGTCGATCCCTCAGCTCGTTGTTCTGAAAGCTCTGCCCGCCAGCTTCCTCCAGGGTGCGCACCCTGCTCCCAGACACTCCCGGCACCAGCTTTCTTCACCCACCCGCTCCAATGCTCTGGTGCAAAAAAATCCAACGGAGGCGACTAAACCACAGCCAGAGAAAAGAAGAGCGTTCGGACACCTGCTTGCTGACTAACCCCGGAGCTATGGTACCTCTGAATGAAGCGGCCCTCAGCTCGCCGTGCGTAGCTCAGCAGCGCCTCCGCCTACCACCTCGCACGTGGGCCCTCAGTCAGCCCACTGGGCTTCTGGGAAATGTAGTCTAATTGCGGAGCGGAAATTCAGTCGCCCGTCTGGCTCCTCGGCATGCTGGGAGTTGGTGGAAACAGGAAGTTTAGTGGGCAATAGGCAACCAAGACAGCGCAAGACACCGTGAGACATTGGGAATCGAAAGCGAAGCGGGATTTGCGGACGCCTCTGGCACATTTTGCGCATTCTCTGCGCGAAGGCCGATGGGAATTGTTGTTCCTAGAGGAGATGGCTCCATTTTCTAGTTCGTTTTGACTTACTGTTCCCTGGAAAGAGCCACCCTTTCTGAGCGAGATTTCAGACGTTTCTGCCTTTGACCTTCTATGGACGGAGCCGGGGCAGATTTAAAAACCACTATAGGCTTTCTAGAGGAAGGGATGAGAGGTAGGCTCTTCCGGTGCGAATAGTCTAGTCACAAAATGTCAGCTCGGTACGGGGGATTGAACTCAGGACCCTGCGTTTACCAGGCAAGCGTTTATTCTACTGAGCTATATCTCCTCGGCCCCGAAATCTTATTTTTTTTATTTTTTATTTTTTGGCGGAACCGGGGATTGAATTCCGATCCTTGCGTTTGCCAGTCAAGTGCTTATCCTACTGAGCCATCTCCCCGGCCCTCTCGGCCCCGAGATGAACTCCAGGACTCTAAGTAACTGGGAGAATACTGGGCGGATCTTACCCTTTCAACATCTCCCCATCACCTATAAGTGTGAATATAGCTATAGCAAAGCACTGACACCAGATTGCTCCTGTCACCGTAAATTATCAGTTGCCATGGATTTGTGTTGAGGGAGGGGACTGGGAATTGAACGCAGGACCTTGCACTCACTGGGCAGGGCAGGTACTGTGCCACTGAGCTATATCCTCAGCCCTTTGCTTTTTTTTTTTTTTGCGGAACCAGGGATTGAACTCAGGCCCTTGCACTTGCCAGGGAAGCGCTTATTCCGCTGAGCCATCTCCCTGGCCTCAGCCCTTTGCTTTTTGAAATGGGACCTTGCTATATACTTTAGGCTGGCCTTGAACTCATGACAATTCTGCCTCTGCCTCCAAAGTTCTAGGACTGCAGGTGTGTATCACATATTTTTATACTACATGAGGCTGGTAATCAGCTGGGAGGCCTGAGTCC